ATCTACTAGTCTGGCCTCCACGGACTTCTTCATTTCTAAGGAACCATGGTTGCTAGGGTACCCTTCGGTTTTAAATTTTTATTATGGGCTTTTTGACGATTGTGAGGTGTTCATTCATAAAACATCGTGTCCATAAACTTATTAATGCCGCGTCTACTGTATAAGTATGCAACATATCTATTGCAACATTTTATGAGGACTATATGACTTCTTCCTCAAACTGTAGGCGCAAACGTACTTTTCCTTAAACGGGATGTACACAGTGCGCATTTTGTAAACCTTGAATTATAGTGCAGCAGACAGTAGGTTTCAAAATAATTTGGCAATTCAGAAACTTTTTTAAAAACCGAAAGATGCCATTTAATTAAGTATAACGTTTAAAGAAGACGTAAGTTGCTACCAAACGAGCACATTTCGATCCCGTTCTGCACACAAAGGTGCCCGAAACGCTCTTGGAATTTAAAACACTTGCCTACGAGCAGTAGGCGGCCTTGACTTTTGCGATAGCGGCCGGCCGCAGCGCACGAAGCCACCATGACTTATCGATCGGCAGGATTTGGATTTAACTTTGCAATCCATCTCAGACATCACAATTGCAAGCAACACCATGGTTAACGCACGTGCAGCAAGACTTTTGTCTAATTGCCAAAAATTCTTCCGACGTATACGCCGTATGCCACGGATCCTTCGGGAGGCCAGCCAGAAACATGGCTATGATGAGACTGGTGGTTTAGAAAGAAGATTGGCCAAAGAGAAAAAGCATGTCTACGTACAGAAAATTATCTGCTGTAAGTCTTTTGAGATGCTTCTTGTCGTGGTGACTTAAATCAAAGTGTCGTTAGACCAAAAGGGAATTTAACCTCTTCATAAAATTTATCCACATTTTGCTATGCATTCCTATGAAACACGTACCAGGTAGATAATTACTTGAATTGTGATTAATTTGGCTAATAAGAAAGGAATAGGTTTGTGTAGGCTTATGTACTTTCGAAGAGGTAGATCCTTGTTTGATTTAGCCGTACAAAATCATCGATATATTTGACGTTATCACCCAAGGGCGCACTTAGTAAATTTCTCCAATTTCCACAGTCAGAACTCCGGGTACATATCAACTATCATGTTGTGTTCACTGGAATGGGTTTATTTGTACGCTGCAAGCAAAATCGGCACGGGGACGAGATCACCGGAAAAGGAAGCAGGAGTACCACCGTCTTCTACAATGCAGACCAAAAGCAACACAAATTGCCATCAAGCTTGGCCAAAATGCACACGAGGGGCCAAGCAGCGAGCGAATAAAAATCCATTAGTCCACGGCCGACCTGCACAGCCACAACTGATCGATAAAGTCAGTTTACGCTTTGACAATAGACGGCTAAGTGAGCTGTACGAAATGCCAGCGAAAAATAAACTCATTGTGGTGAGCGCAACTTTCCTATCCACACGACGCATCCTGTAAAAATTCCGGCTTCGTGGATGTACAGTCCCTTGTCCGATTTATGTCGCAACGGGAGGTTAACAAAATGTGTTGGTCGGTGTTGTTGCTGGACCTCTTATTCTTCTTATTTCTCCTTATCCTAAATTCGAGTTATGCAAAAGGGACTATATTATTTTTGTCATATCAATCCACCTCTCGCTGTATCCTTGTAAAACACGCACCAGTTAGACTCATTTAAATTATAATGTATTTTCCTCCTCCGTTTGCCCACACACCGTACGAGACAGGAGACTAAATAGGCGGACCACCTCCTCTGGGGAGCTCTGGGAGGCGTTAGCCTCCCAGACCCTGTGTAAATGAAGGAAGAAGTGGTCGAGGGCACTGAAGTTGTCGCCGATTAAGCCTTGAACCGTAACGAGGTTACCGGAGTGGCGAAAAGCTGTAAAGCGCTAGAGAGTCGTTAAATACACGGTATGCTTTTGATGATAAAATGAAGCACAGACATCCAAGCATGCAAGCATGTTTTTTACAACTTACCAGGCACGTTGCATCCTCTCGATACTTCAGGTCAAGGTTCACCGTTGTATCAGGGATACAACCGTTTTTTGCCAATGGTAATAGCGACGACCTCCAGACGTCTGCGAATGTAAACGAAGAGATGTACATTTAACAAAAGCAGATGCACCTTGCATTCTCAGATAAATTTACAGCTTAAATATTTAACAAAATTTCACGGCCCATTTTTGTTGAGTGGCTAGGTAGACGGACTTGTAGTGACTAGAGCAAGTCAAAGTGCTTGCTGTATCCGGCCTTTGTAACAGCCAATAACAGGCGGACTCACACAGGACCTCATTTGACGACTGCAGAGCAGACCTCACTTCAGATGCCGTCCGCTGGCTTGTGATTGTGCGGTCGCTTGGTAGGCATCGTTCTACTGCGTATTCTTCTTTCCGTCTGTACAGAATAAAATATTCCTAGAATCTAGCTTTCCCAAGACTTCTCTCCTCTCCTACGGAACCTTGCCGAAAGATCGCAGCCGTAAGGGTTAAACCTTAGTAGCCTTTACCAAGCTTCGATAGAGTAAACATACACCAGCTCACCAATAAAATATAGCGTTATTACAAGAAGCAAGGAGAATATGCTTTCTTAAGCGAGGCAGTCAAGCAGACTACTAACACTTAGCTTCGGAAAGCTTCTAGTAAATAAAGTTAACTGATGACTGGAGATAATTACTCACCGATGCCCTCATTGAGTCTCCGGGGCAGAAGCTCAACGTAGCGAAGGATCAGGTCCGCTAGGTCGTCAGGGTCCTTCAAATGTCCGGACGCATCCTGACCAGGTCTTCGAAAGGGTACTGAAATTTGTTAGGACAATAACTGTGTGGATCACATTGGAAGGATGCAAGTGTAATACATTTAAGAAGGACTTGAGGAAGGGGACATCAAGTCTCATCTTAAACTCACTGTGTTGATCAGGCGCATTTTTGTATATAGGCTCAGTGACATCGGCGAGTCGTTGTACAGGTCAGCAGACCTAATTCCGAGGGCTTCTTGTTTCTGAATCAATACCACCAAGGCATGTGGAACGCCCTTAAATTCGATAGCTGTTTATATTGTAGTCAGCATTTCTTCTCATTGCCTACGGTGTTTGGAGTATGCAATTGATAAGCAAGTTGGGATAACTTATAGGTTGCCGAAGGCTTTGGTCCCGGAACTCAATTGGTGCGCCGAAAACTGCACCCATCAGATCGCCACCAAGTGGAATTGCGCAACTACCGTCTGGTGTTTCGTGAACTACTTCGGTGCCCCTTTTCTGGTCTTCGGTCTGAAATGGAAAGATGCAGGGATGAGGCACACTTCTGTCTCAGTCGCCACAATGCCTGGGCTGAAGGATCACAGTGAAGGAAAAAGGACAAATTTTTCATTAACCCCCCAATTTGTTGCAAAATGACGCAGTCCGGTTTGCATGCGGAGGAAAGCTTGTACTAGGCACTTCGAGGGAAAAACTTCTTTGACCAGAGCTAGAAGAACAGATTAACAAGAAGCAAAAGCCGTTTTGGACATCTGGTGCGACATCCTGCGGCGCCTATCATGCTTAACTTTCTACACGGTTGAAGGTTGCAGAAGTAGTTAAATTCTGCTGCGCGTCAAATAATTCCCCGCTTAGATGACATTAATAATACGTTCTACGATGGCCCTCGCATCCTGTGTGGATAGCGGATGGGCTGATTTCCAGTGCCAGCCTCCGCACATGTCATGCTTACCATTAAGTGACTGCTCTGACTCCAAGAGACCAACAGTTTCTAATCCCCTTATGTCGTGTACAATTCCTCCTCTCCGGTCTGACATGGAAAGATCCAGGCATGAGGCACACTCATCTATTAGTGCCCAGAATGTCTGGGGTGAAGGAACAATAAATAGACAGATTTTTCATTCGCCACCCAGTCTATTACAAAATGATATAATGGCTGCCATGTGTCCGTTTCTGCGATCATAAATATTTGTGTCTGATATGTTTACATAAGAAAAATATTTTCAACTAGAGTTAGAGGTACACATTAACTAGACGCAATAGTACTTGATACTGTTAGGCTTGCAATCAACACCAATTTTCCAGGCAACCGCTCTAGTTTTCTTATCTACTGAAGCCGCATTTGCTCTTATTGCTTACGGTGTATGGTCTATCTACGATCCACAATGATGGCCTGCCAGTTCGCCCGATTTTGGATATACGTCACTCGCCGTATCATGCAATAGTGAAGTGGTTGGCAGAGAAACGCAAACCCTCGCAGTAGCAGCAGCCGGCACCACATAGCTATCAAGATACGTTCCAATTCATCGATGGCATCAATGACATGAACTAAAACGACATGATGATGCTCTCCCTAGACCTTTCATCGCTGTTTATAAACGTCCCAGTAACAGAGACAAATCAAATAGGAGTAGGACTACCACCTGATATATTAAAGAAACTATTACTCAAATGCACATTAATTTGATATTCCTTTATGACAACCAACTATAGAGACAAATAGACGGCGTCGCTATGGATTCGCCTGTCGGGCCTCTTTTGGCTAAAATCTTCATGGGCAAGCTGGAGAAATTTCATCTTAGCAAGCAGATCCATGAGTTAAAACACTATGGTCGATATGTCGATGACATCTTCGTCATCGCCCCAGCAGAAACTGATGTAAATGCGCTTCCACATACAGTTAATCAAGCACACCCCCCATTAAGTTCACGTGACAAGTAGAGACGGCAGGTTCGCTTTCTTTCTTGTATGTCCTCCTAAGTCGAAGACCTGACGGTAGCATCCAAATGAG